TCATCAGAAATATAATTCTAAATTCATAACATAAAAATCTGTATCTTCTTATCTGAAATGGTGAGCTACAGCGTGTTAGCCAGTCACTGAGGTGACTGACTTGACTAAGTCAAGAGAAACTGATAACCCACAATAAGTTGGAATGAGGTCGTTGTACTGTTTAAGTCTTGTGAAGGGAGTAAGGACTCAGGGTGTTCTGGTATTCAGAGAAAATGAGAAACAGACACTGTGAAATGTGTTATGGGCTGTGGAACTTGTCAACCTGGACCATAGAATCATAGAACATATTGGGTTGGAAGGGACCTCTAAAGGTAAGCTAGTCCAACCCCCCTACAATAAGCAGGGACATCTCTAACCAGGTCAGGTTGCTCAGAGCGCGATCAAGCCTGACCTTGAATGTCTTCAGGGATGGGGCTTCCACTACCTCTCTGGGCAGCCTGTTCCAGTGATCCACCACCCTCATATTAAAGAACTTTTTTTCTAATGTCCACCCTAAATCTACCCTTTTCTAGCTTAAAACCATTACCCCTTGTCCTATCGCTACCAACCATTTTGAACTGTTCTTCCCCAGCCTTCTTATAGGCCCCTTTCAGGTACTGGAAGATTGATATAAGGTCTCCCCAGAGCCTTCTCTTCTCCAGGATGAACAACCGCAACTCCCTCACCCTGTCCTCACAGGAGAGGTGCTCCAGCCCCCCTGAGCATCTTCATGACCTCCTCTGGACCCGCTTGAGCCGGTCCATGTCTGTCTTGTGTTGGGGGCTCCAGAGCTGGACGCAGTACTCCAGGTGAAGTCTCACCAGTGCACAGTAGAGGGACAGAATCACCCCTCTCGACCTGCTGGTCCCACTTCTTTTGATGCAGCCAAGGATGTGGTTGGCCTTCTGGGCTGCAGTTGTGCACTGGTGGCTCACATCCAGCTTTTCATCCACCAGTACCCCCAAGTCTTTTTTCACAGGGCTGCTCTTCTAGCATGTCTTCTCCCAGCCTGTATTGGTACCAGCATTTGCCCTGGTCCAGGTGCAGGACCCTGCACTTGGCCTTGTTGAACCTCATGACGTTCACCTGGACCCACCTCTCCAGCCTAGCGAGGTCCCTCTGGATGGCATCTTGTCCCTCTGGCATATCAACTGCACCACCCAGCTTGGTGTCATGAGCAAACTGAGGGTGCACCCAATGCCACTGTCAATATCATTAATGAAGATATTAAACAACACCGGTCCCAGTGCCCCTGAGGGACATTGCTTGTCACCATTTTCCACTTGGACATCGAGCTGTTGACCACTACTCTGGATGCAACCATCCAGCCAATTCGTTATCCACTGAACAGTCCACCCTCATCATACCTCTGTGTGTACTCTAGAGACAGTGAGGAGTAATGTGTTAAGGACTAGAAATCAGAAGACTGGCTATCATTTATGTGTCAGTGTTTGACCATTAGTTCAATAAGTTCGAGCTTGATATCAAAGCTGTTGAAAATTATATTCCAATGCATTGGGAGGAAGAGCCTGCTTTTCATTTTTTTCATGATTTCTTAGTTACTGGTTGTAATATGTTTTTAATGGAAAAGTGTATTTTAATATTACAAGGAATTTTGTTCACATGTGAAAATGAATATCTTCCCTAGAGTAAAGTCAGCAGAATTTCCATGTATAACTAGACATTTTAATTTAGGATTTTCTATAGAAGTAACCTCAAACCAGCAGTTGTTGCAGCAAAAGTGGAACTGGTGAAGACTACTTTCATGTCTCCTGAATCTTAATAACACAGTACCTTCAGCGTCTCTCTATAACCTTCTCTGCATAATACCTCTGGTGCAATACACCACATCTTTCATCCTAAGACCTCATCCCAATTTCTCTCCTGCTCTTCTGTGCAACAGCGCTCTCTGCTGCAAGCACCTGTAGACCCTTCCCCCATTCACAATTCCAGTTTGCTATCACAATAGCCCATTTTCCTCACGTATTCCTTAAATTTCTCCCATTTTATCTCTCCATTCCCCATCTTCTCTGTGTCAAAACACAGCACAGGCTGTTGCCACTCTAGAGCTACCCATGAAATGATATGCTGGCCAACACATGTGCTGCATGGCCATCTGGCTGCTGGCAAGCTGAAGGGATTCAACCAGTCAATCATTCCGCTGTTTTGCTGTACACTGGGGCTCAGTCAGACAAGATTTTGTATAGGGTGGCTTTTGATTTCGTCAGGGAAGTATGGCATATGCGTGTTCTTGGTTTCACTTCAAAAGGAAATCTGTATTTTGACAAAGGATGTGTTAGCTCTGTGCATTGATTTTTCCCACAGTTTTAAATAATAGTTACCAAAAGCTAGCAGCAGTATCTCATGCCTTTACTGTGGAAAGTAGGATACAGGATGTTGTTGCTCCTGTTAAACTTGATAGAAATAGCTGGCAGTGCTTTGCATTGGATTTGTTTATCTGCAGCTAGAAACATCAGGAAGTTCTTCACTGAAATGATGCTTCTATGCGATGTCTGAAGGATGACATTAAGAGTTAGCATTGGCTAAGCGTTTTCTGTGTGTTCGGTATGCTCTGTGTTTCAGTCTCCCCCAGGCAGGAAAGGACTGATTTACTTTACTTCCAGCAACCGTTGAGATTGATGAATAATGGGAACAAGCTGGCTGAAATTAATTATGATAAAAGTGAAAAGATTATGTTATAAGGGAAACAGCTGAAGGACTTGGCATTGGTTAGGTAAGGAGCTCTCCATTGTGAACATTCAGTCGTTATGGGTTAGCTGAGTTCTTGTTTTGGAAGCAAATTTAAGTTCTTAAGTGTTTAGTCTGTTAAAATTAGGCAGTAAACATCATTACTATGTTTATGATCCTTTTGGGTCTGACAAAAGTTTGCTTGCCTTTCAGAAATACGCTTCTGCAATTTCAGTTCATTCTTTAATTTCCTCTAAACTGAACCATCACCGTGTCCCTCATGGAAGGTATTTGTGTAGAACATTAGTTTGCATTAAACAGATGATTCCACCTTGAGTGTGCAATGCTGCTGCCTGCATATGTGAAATTTAAAGGTTGGGGTCTCTTCCTCTCTTGGCACATGGCAAGTCGCAAAAGCACGTCATGGCAGATTTCGGTACCCTGATTCTCAAGTTGTGATAGTCTCAGGTGAGATATAAGGGTGAGCTGTCCTTGGGCACCCCTGATTCCTGACGCTTGACTGTGGCCCCTGACAGCGTGGCCGTTGCAAGTAGCAGTGCTGTACTGCGGAGCTTTTCCATCATCACCCCAGCATCTTCACTGAAACACCGACAGGTTGTAGCTGTTGTAGAAAGCGGTTCTATGATCTTGATGTCATCCTTCAGAGCTGCAGGGAAGCTAATAAATGTGGCATTTTATCTGCATAGGGGTATAAAGAATACCAAGAGAGTGAAGGGCATTTCTAGCGTTCTTCTGATTTCCCCTCGTTTTGACCTATTCTGTCTTCCAAGCCTTAGCAGTAGGGAATACCAATTTCTATGAGAGCTGCTGTGAAGGTTTTTCAAAAGTGTATATTTAATATTTTTTTCTTCTGTTTGCATTATTTCTTCTTGCTGTGTTTCCTGATAGGTCGTCTTTGCTTTTTATTTTTTGCTTTGTGGTTGTTCTGTCTTACTTTATACCCCATTTGTACAATACCAAATGATGGCATGAAACATGAAATATTGAAAACTTGCTAGGAATACCACCCTGATACTGGTTTGAGGAAACATAGTAAAGATATTACCTTAAAGAAATCATAAACCTTCAACACTGAGGTATTTTACTAGCTATTGTTAGATGGATAAAAGACTAACAAGCTCTTTAACTGAAGAGGCTCTTTCATTCAGATATTGAGTAAAAGTCTCAAAATGACAAACTGATAACATTGCTAAGTGTTGTACATTTCTGAAGAAAACTAAAGCAATCCCTAATTTTGTTATTTAAATTATGTTAATATCTAAATTATGTTGATGTAGCTTCAAAAATAATATTTTCCTGAAGTGATGTAAGTGAAATAAAGTAGAGAATATTCATCTCATGTACACCTTTCAGTTTCTTGAAATTTGTTTAAATTGCTTGTCTTCATACACTGTTGTTTAAATTGTTTTGAAGATTATCTTTGCAGTAATACTGGCATTTGTATCTTAATTTCTTTTTTAATGAAAATTTACATTCCACAGTAACCAATACAGTCACAGCAATATGATCAAACTTAGTGTTTCTGTCCCTGTGTCGCTTAGAATTCTGTCTAGAATTTAAGTGAAATCTTTATGACTAAAGGCACCTGAAATACAACCCTTGAAAAATATCTTGCATGTACTGTAATTTTGCATCAACTGAGAATTCTGTGGCGTAAATTTTTGCAGGTCCTTCATGCTATGATTCAAATATTCTGCATGTGTGGATTGACAAGGGTGGTTTGAAGTTTTATCCTAGTATGTGCATAGCATGTCTCATTTTTTCTGTTATTTTAAAATATTGCGTAAATTATATGAAATAGTTACTGCCAATGTAAGTTAGTGATTTCAATAATTTCTTTAAGACAGCAACAGATTCTTAATTATTTTTGTGGTGATTGTCATACTTCTTAATTTGAACACTGAAGTAATGAAAACCTGGAACCAGAGTTCCTGTCATCTCGACGTACATAATGCATGGATGTAGCAAAGTCTGAGAAGAAACCCTGTGTTGTAGTAGTACATGATCTGTGAATAAGGTTTTGTAACTGTCAGTTATAAATTTGGCGTAATATAGTTTTTCCACTCAAAAATATGTGAAATCCTATCACCTAAAGAAAAAAAAAACAAAAACAAAAAAACCAAACCAGTAAATTTATAAATCTAAAATTTCTGGCTTTAAAATTTTAAATTTTATTTTTTTTTAATTCTTTGAGCAATTTTCCTTGAAATTGATCTGAGAATTGTCCTCAAAAGCTTTTTCCCACCTTAGGTTTCAAACATATATAATTTGATAGTGCTCCTCTTAATTTTTAAAACTTGAAAATTTTACAGATAAAAAGCTTTGGTGGGCGGACCAGAACTTAGCTCAGATTGGTACCTGTAACAAAAAAGATGGAAGAAACCCAACTGTCCTGCGAAACAAAACTTCAGGTGTGGTACATATGAAAGTGTATGATAAAGCAGCACAGCAAGGTATGTTAAATTTAAAGCGTGTTTAACCAACTTTTACATGGCATGGTTATCTTTTCCCATGTTATACTCCACACGTGGCTAGAATAAAATAATACGTATTTCACTGTAATTCAGTGATAAAATACAATAAAATATTGTATTACTGAATATAATAGGATAATTGGTTTAGCATATCTGCCTGATATATTTTGATTTATCAGATGTTTTCTGAAGTTTACACTACAGAGAAATTGAAGTTCTTTTAGAAAATTTGAGTTTAAAATTTTTAATCAAAAATGATCAGTTAGTATGTGAACCTCATCTCAAATTATTGAAATTTGAAGTGAAGTATTTTGAGAGAATTCATTAATGTTCCTCATTATCTGTTTGGTTTAAGACAATTTAAATTGACAGAAGTGAGACAGCAGAAAACTGGGGGAATATTGCTAATAATGCCAAAACTTAGTTGGCAAACTGGGAGCTAAGATAATACGGAGTCATGCACTCAGTTTTATGAACTTGGGGATCAAAGATGAAAACATTTGGGAGATTCTTTAGAAAAAGTTTATTTCTGATTCCAGCTACTGACAGTGATGAGGATGGGATCTACATGAAACAAATTATTTCATTTTGTGGAGAAGCTTCCAAAAGAACACAGAATGGTTTACTACCATAAGTAGTCTATGTACAGAGTACAGTAATTCAGTTCCATATGGAGCACTTCTGGGAACTCCTTGCTGTTTTACCTGATCTAGGAAACACGAAAGGTGCTTTGCTAGCCTGGCATTTAGTTTTAAATGTGGTGGAACAGTAAGTAATAAAAATCTAGGCATTCGATAATGTTTCTATCATTTTAAAATGCTTGAACTCCCTACCTTGGAGACATGCACAGAGCCTCATGACCACCCAAATCTTAGCAATATCAACTGTCCATGGCATTAATATGTGTCTTCCATTGTACGAAACTGAAGAAAAGTTACAGTTCTTGTTGTACTACTGAACTTTAACTGTAGTTTCCCTGTGTAGTGAAATGTCACCTTGCTGATCTATATTTTGACAGAGAGCAATGTCAGGGTTTTGGGTACAAGAGATTCAGTTTTACACTTGCATGTTTTTTAAAGAATCGTTGCATATTCACTATGCATCTTGCATTTCGTTAAATCAAAATGACATTAGAGCAAGTGTGATGTGAGGGCGCTTACAGATTTCTCTGTATACAAATCGGACATCCTGGATTTTTATTTTTTTTTTTTTTAACTCTGCAATTTCTGTCTTTGTCTGAGCATACCTGTGACTTTGAAACCTGTCTTTTCCATTTGTCTGGTTGGATTTTTAGAAACATCTGTGATTTTAGATGAAGAAGTGCTTTCTTCTTCAAAATTAGGAATGCAAAAATAAATGTGACAAGTAGCACTCTGATTCATATGGGCTTGGTAACTTGTAATCAACTAATTCCTTGACTGTCTTAGTAGACTTCAATTTTTCTTCCTGAACCTTCAAATTTGAGATGTGTTCATTGTACTGTGTAAAATGTTCATTATAAATCTTATTAAAAAATGCTCATCTATTACTTAAAAGTAAATACTGCTTTAATTGAAAAGTAGGAGCATGGATCTCTATGATCACATTGGAGCATATCTTAAATATACTAAACAAATGCTGGTTTGTGAAGATAACAGGATTAATATAACATTTGATGAATGAATACAATATGGGCAATGATTTGGTCATGATCTAGAGTAAGATGCACCTTCTAGACTAATGTCAGTGAGATTTCATCATTGCTACTCAAAACAATGCAGTATTTTCAATTTTATCATATGCTTTTACTTTAAAAGTAGGCAAATTCTTCTTCAGAAATCTGTTATTTAAAAAAATATTCCGAGGAAAAACACTAAAATGTGCAGATAAAATACTGTAAGAATGAAGCATGGAAGAGTATATGAATAGTAGCATAGCCTGAAATATTTATGCGTATCGCAGTTTTTGAAGGAAGTTAGCTGAACAAAGCTTGGTTTTGGTAATATTAATAAATTGATGGCAACACTCAGTTTTAGTCAGGATTGCACTGTTCAAATTTTGTTTCCTCTGGTCTCTTCTCCCATCGTCTTATAGGTAGCAATTCCTGTCAGTTAAACAATGGTGGGTGCTCCCAGCTTTGTTTACCAACATCAGAAACCACCAGGACATGTGTCTGTACAGTAGGCTACAACCTTCAAAAAAACCGCATGGCATGCAAAGGTAAAACGGCTTTCAGTGTTTATTTTAACTAATTTCAGTTGTATGGGAATGCTGTAATGAGTAAATAACTTTCCTTACAAATTTTAAGTTAAATAACTGTATTTAATATGCTTGATTAAAGCAGTAACAGAGAAATGTCTGTTGTGGTTAGGGCAGAATTTAAATTCAGCTTTGAATGTCTTGTAGTTCTGCATAGATTTTTGTGGAAACTCTGAGGAATATTTTTCCTTTTTTTTTAAATGTAGGCAGAGAAACAGACCATTTGAGCCATCATTAATAGCGGTACATATTTGTTCAAGGTCATATACCTTATCTTTAAACTAAATTATAGGCTACAATATCTGAAAGGTTGGGTATCTCGTCCTATTGTGTTGCTCTTAATATAAAGTATTTTAATGAAAGATTTTTTTTTAGACATTTTCTCTGTTTGTGCAGACAAAAATCAAAACATAGCTTGCATCCAAGGTCTTACTTTTTGCCTGAATAATACAAAATAGCCTTATGGTCAAGGTGCCATATAATTGTATAAATTTAATATTATTTATTCCTATGAGGGATTGCTACCTCATCTAGTTAATAGTAGAGTATACACGGAAGGAGAATTAAGCAACATAAATGTGTCTTTTCTACTTCTTCAGCACTTTTCATATGTGACAATAACATGTTCTTAACATTTTTTTATTTCTTTTTAAAATAGACTTTTTTACTTTTCCCAATTATGTCTTCAGAAATTTCTATCTTTTAGTTGTGGGTTAAGGTAAAACTGGTGGATGCTGTATATTTGAAATGTATTCCTCCTTTATGTCTAGATATACTGCTTTCTAGATCATAACAGCTTTTTATGATTAAAATGTCCTTCAATTAAAAAGAAGTCATTAGTCAGACATTGCAGCTGGCTGCCCAGGGCAGTGGTGGAGTCACCATCTCTGGTGGTGTTCAAAAAACGTGTAGATGTGGCACTTCGGGACATGGTTTAGTGGGCCTAGTGAAATTAGGTCAACGGTTGGATTTGATGATCTCAGAGGTCTCTTCCGACCGAATGATTCTAAGATTCTGTGATTTTTACTCTGTCTTGAATATTCATGGAAAAAAAATGACAAATACTGTTCTGTACATATATACTTGCTTGGCATTACTCTTTCCACATACTAGCTAGATTTCTTCTTGTTTTCAAGAAAATTTTGTAATTCTCCACCTGAAACATTTTAGTCCACATGCTTAGGGACTTCTACTAGCTAGCACTGTACAAAGAACGAAATTTTCAAAGAATTGCTGTGAAGAAATGGAACTCTTTTGTGTATGGAAGCTAAAATTCTTCATTTGAGTTATGTATCATAGTGCTGCATAATTTCCCTTAAACTTAGAAGTGAATATGAACAGATTAGGGCAAGGAAGTATTTGTTCTAATTTTAGTTGTCAACAATTAGATGTGATTCATCTCAACTGGGAATGTCTTGTTATGAAGACTTCTACACAATAGAATTTCTTCCTACTTAATAGAAATAGGTATATCTGGAGTATGATTAAACTAACACAAAAGTAGACATTTAAAATGCATCAACTGCATTGTTCAATAAAACTGTATTTCTCTCTGTTCTCTGTAAAGGAAATGTGCATGACTAAATGAGGCAAGACGAATCCCATGCCTCACAAGACAATTTAGTCATGAGTCCTGCTTTCCACAAATTCTTTATAATGATCTCTTGCTGAATATGTACAGAAAGTGCAGATGTGCACTGACAATATTTGTAAATTTCTCATAATTCAGAAACATTTTCTTCCTAAGTTTTAGTTTTCATTACTGCTAATTACTTAATTTAAGGTGATGCTTGAAATGGACACTGATTCCCTTCTCTTTATAAGGCTTCATTTATCCTTTAATTAGAAATACCTCATAATAATTCCTGGATGTTTTTTCAAAAAGATAAAGTTATCATTCTGGAAAACTATGGAGCAGTATTGGAAAACTCTGTCTAGTCCTTGTTGGTTCCTTGAGTCTTGTTAATTGAGAAAATCTCCACTTTGCTCTTATTGGCTATTTGTTTTTTCCCACAGGTGTTGAATCATTTCTTATGTATTCTGTTCATGAAGGAATTAGAGGAATTCCTCTTGATCCGAATGATAAAATGGATGCTTTAATGCCTATATCTGGAACTTCATTTGCTGTGGGCATAGACTTCCATGCAGGTAAATAATATGTATAGTTTATTGGATGTATGGTAAATATTGTACATTGTTCTTATAAATGAAATAAACCCCCAGTGTTCAAACATTCTAAGTAATTACATCTATATGTAAGGGAATTGGAAGTTGATTGTGTGTCACGGTGTTAACCTCTAGCTATTTATTATTTACAGTAAATAGGAAAACATGTTTTAAGTATGTGTAGATTGCATTAGCAACACTATCGGCTGTTTTACAGTGGAGACATCACCTAGCACTTGAGCAGGGAACGGATGACTTTACAGAAAGCGGTCATAAATCTGTAGGAAAGAGGATTCCTCTTTCATATTAAGAAAGGTTCTTCCTGTCATGACATTTTTTCCACTGAATTTTCTTAGTCCTATGTATTGTACTTAGCAGGTGGTTTTGACAGCTGAGTGGGATGGCTTGCTTTCTGTCCAGTGAAGCTCAGCCACTTCACTGCAGCGTACAAACCACCTCTGTATCTGTTTCTTCCTTGTAGAAGCTGATGCTCTAACAGCTTGAAGAACAGGCATTTCCATCTTCCATACACTACATACCTTTCCACTGCAGTGTATAAATAGGAAACAGGTTTTAGTTTAGATAGCCTCACAAATTTCCAATGAAATTAGGTTGTTTCTGGTTTGAATGCAAGTGAAAGAAGGTGGAAAGAAATTAAGGATCAGATCCTGAAAAGTAATTGGATACATCTCCTGCTGGTATTTGAGTATCTTCAAAGACATAAGGAATTTCTGATTAGTTTACAGAAAATAAGAAATCTGTGACCAAGTAGTGATCTGAAAGCATCTTGCACTTCTGTATTTTTAACCGAGGAGCTCTTTGACCAGCCCTCCTTTAAAACTGATTTTCTCTTGAGCTGTTTTTGCTACCTATTGAGTTTACAAACCAGCAGTTTGGAAATAAAATTATAAGTTACCTATGTTATATACACCAGAACATTGGCTTCCTGAAACATACAATTATTTTGTCATACTCCATTGTTTTTCATTGTGAAGTAAATTCTGCCTGTGAATTCGAAACTGAGAGATCCTAAGTGTTTGCTTGAGTATATGTTAATATATGCCTTCATATTAAAAACAGACCTTTTTCTGCTTGTTCTGCTTGACTACTTGATCACACAAATATCACTAATCTTTTGTTAAGGGGTTAGGAGTTAAATTCACTAACGTTTTCTCTTTATTTTGGCCTGCCTTTATCACTGATACTCTTGTACCTTTACTCTGCCTGGCAGAATTCCAAGTTCACTCAACAATTTACAGTGCCTTCATACTTGTATATTTTGCTTTCGAATCAGTGACAGCTAATGTTCAGAGCTTTCGTTGCATCATAGGTGTAGTTCAGTCACAGACTACAGAGGCATCAAAATCAATTGAAAGCCAGTGCCTTTATACACATATCTATAAAGAGTATGACACAGCGGATTTCCTCTTTTCCTGGATGATAGAGAAGTGGTAGCTGCACATGTGCATGACAGAATACTGAGACAATGCAATTGGGTTTTCCAGGGATTATATTTTTACTGTAATATATGTCCATAAAAATTACCATTTTTTAATTCAAGTCTTGTAAGCTTTACAAAATTACGATGTGTAATACAGAACTCTGAATTTTGACCTTTTAGATCTAAAGTACTGATACTAGGTTATTATTGAGGATTTTGCATCTTGTGTTTTCTTTGGGTTTGGGATTTCTTTTAGCGTAGTCTACTTATAGGAGAGCTTTGTTTGGACTTCGCTAGTCAATATCAAATTAATATCTTGGAAGAATAAGATGCATGTACTAATTTGTAGCTTTTTGGAAAAATGAATCCCTTTGAGGAAGGATGAAATTGAGTGAGATTTGCCAACTTGTGTGGTGATCACTTACAGCACACGGAACGTGAATACAATTGACACTGGCAAATGCATTCCTAAACACGAATGTAAATCTTCTGCAGCAGTGAAATCACAAGAGGATTCTGTGTTACAAAAAGTTATAGTATGGCTTTCAACTGCATTTCATCTTAAAAAGCAATTGTATTTCTCATTTTGATACCTTACCTTGAATTTCCTGAATTCATTCCTAAAACCTTTGTTCATCAAATATTATTCAGAAGGCAAGCGGAGGTACTTTCAGATTTCATCTTGTTGGTTTTTTTCCCTTAGTGGCTATTGTTTGCATTTTATTCTTAATTGTGAAACTTTCCCAAATTCTGATCTACTCTCAGTAATGTTTAAGTGGCTAAAATACATTAACATATGCCAGCAGTATAGTGTACCGTAGTTAAAAGACTTCTACGGCAATATTTTTTGCAGATGTGAAAGAGCTGGAAGATAAATGTACCTTTTTTCTCCCTATGTTTTGATACTTCTAAATTCTCATTAAAGAACTACAAGAGTAATTTTGACCTTTCGGACTTTTTTAGAGGTCGTTGGGGAGCGGGGTTGTCAGTGTTATTTAAGACCCAGGTTTATAAAACTGAGTGTGATCCTAGTAGCCATTGTTAAAGATAACGGCATCGGTTCTTCCCTGCTTCTGAAGACGTCTTCACAGTATGTCAGACAAACACCCATTGTTTTTTCCTCTCCATTGTTCCAGGAAGCTCACCATATTTTTTTTTACCTTAGTATCTGGTTCACATTTGTTGAAATCATTATTTCACATGGTGGGAGGTACTCTGTACTTCAGCTTAGTCCGGTTGAAGGAGAATCTGCATGGCAGAGAAACACTACTGTGTTTGAGACATCGAGGGCTTTCTAAGTATTGAAGAAATGAGAACATCACGTTTATTTGCAGAATAATGGTCTTCAAATTGATGAGTAGAACTCTGTCTCCAAGGAAGTGATCCTGTTCAGGAGATGCTATGTTAACTCCTACTGACTTAGACGGCACAAACTAATGAGTAGCAGCCTTTCTGTCTTTCTAAAGTACAGCAATGCAGCACAGTTACATGAATGTTTTCATTAGTGCCAAAAAGCCTCCATGAAGGTGGAGTAATAGTTAAAGCTGTTGTTAGTTTTTAAATAATGCAGTGTTATTGCTGAGCCCCTTTCAGTTCTGCACTAGTTCAGCTCAGAAACAGCTTAAGATTTGCAAGATTTTGCCTCTGTGGAAAGCAGTCTTCCCAGTCCCTCATTGAATTTTGCTGAACTTAGTGGCAACTGGGACCCCAGACCTGTTCTGTCACATAATTTTCCACACTTTTGTCTCAATTTTCTGTCCCCCCCTTACTCATGCTATCATTGTGCCTCCAGGCATATGTATCTGTGGTGTATTTACAGATATATATAGGGGGGAGGAGAATAGATTTCTCTCTGTTGAAATATGCAGTTTGAACATTTACAGAGTAAGCTGACAAGGCCTGACGAAGTTATATTCAGCAAATACGTTGTATGTTGAATTTTGAGTTACGGGATTTTATTGGCAAAATACTAATGCATTAAATGGAATTAATTTTCGGTGTTTGCTGATAAGCTGCCTGTGGATTGTAGGAGTCAATGTGAGGCCATGGTTACTAATGCTCACCACTTAGCAAAATGCTTGTAGAAGCTGCATAAAATTGCAGACAGTTGTTTTCCATTTTCTGGTGACTGTCATTTCCAGGTAGTAATTCTCTTCTCTTCAGATTACAGCAATAGAATGAGTAAATAGATACTGAAGGCTCCAAATTGAGTATAGGCCTTCTTTCCATCTGTCTGAAGCCAGAACTGGTTTCAGGAACCAAGGGAGTTTTCATTTTGTGTCTGTTATTTTTCAGAGTAATTGGGAAAATAAAACAAGTTTGTGGAAGTCAAATATGAATAGTGATACCTGACAGAGACAGCACCGACACCCAGATCTGTGAAAACATCATCCACATTTATAAATTAACAGACTACAACAAAATAAAGGCCAATCACTTAATCTGAATTCCTATTAGCTTGCTCTGCATGGCATGGGTCTTCAGTGGTTGAGGCCTACTGAGAATGTTACTCCATGATAGATTGATTATTAACAGAAAGGAATCCATAAAAATTCTCCATAAAATGAGAGAGGCTTGTTATTTGGATCATACCATCCAACTGCAAACCGAAACTCAGCAAATTCTGTAGTATTATTTGTATTTGAAACTCACAGGGATCTTTATTAGTTTGGTGACAATGAATTCCTTGGATATTTTCACACTGTACAGCAAGAGAGTATAGTTTTTTCCTTTTCTTAAGCTGTCGTGAATACCTGAAAAATCAGAAAACATTCTCCAATGTATTGCGCAGAGCATGACCAAAAAGTTTTTCATTGCTGTGAATAAATAACCTTTCTCAGTACTTCAGAAAACTATTGTTTGGTTTTGCTCGGGTTTTTTTGCCTTGGAGTATCTTTGAACAAGTATATCAAAATGTCATAGTCAATGCGTTTTACACCACTGTTTAATGAGGATTTAATTCAGGATACAAAATGTAGGCAAGTAAAGCATATGACTGTAAAAAAAAAAAAAAGATAATTTTAAGGAAATTATGTATTAGCTGAGGTTTAATATCTGTGTATGGGGGTTTTTTTGCATACTCAAGCTGTTGGCATTTACTTTTAAGGATACTTTCTAGAAGCAGTGAACTGCATGTGCTTTGTGAACATTCTCCAACAGAGTAAATATTACTTGAGTTTCCCTGATTAGTTCCAGTCCCAAAACTACTTATATATTTTTTGTTTGTAGAACGGATACTTTCTGCTTAAAAATTCTGTTCATTTTACAGGAACACTACCAACTAAATAAAAATCCAATTTGACTGATGTTAAAAGAGTATTCCTTGTAATTTTTATCTTTAAAATGTATTTTGCTTTATTATTGGCAAGTATTTTATCTCTTAAGTGACATCTGCACATCTCCATAATTTCATGTGTCCTCACCATCCTTTTTTGTAGATGTACAGAACCATTAGTTGCTTCCTACCCGTTTATCATCAGGTCAGGTATATTGTGTATTAAGGAAAAGTGTTCATCATTAACAAAAGAAAGTTGTGTCATAAAATACTGCATTTCACATAAATTACATTAGTAATTTAGATAGACTTTTAATGGTTGTTGTGTAATGAAGTATTTTAAAGATAAATATTATTTTTTTAAATTTGTTCTATCTCTTTACATGTGATTATCTGGAAGCAAATCCAGGTAATTCAGTTGTTAGAATTTTTGGATTACTTTAAGACACTGTTCTAAGAAAATAGCAGTACGAAGTCAGTTGTGCTGTATACATTAAGATTTAGTCATGGAAGTGAAACCACAGATCTGTGTTCTTATAACAGTTTCTAAGCTGCTATTTGTATTCTGGCTCACGTGGCTGACTTAAGTAGTCATAGTATGAATACAAAGTGGTTTATTTTTATGGAGATGAATTAAACTGGAATATGAAATACATAAAATTCACTTGTAGCATGTCTTATTCAGTTGGTAAACATAATAGATGGATTTTTTTTTTTTTATTAACTATGTACTTTCAGGTAAGACTTTGTAGTGATTCTGTGTATCTCATATTCCACTGCAGGGTATTTGGCAAACACTTGCACACAATGATAGATCAGTGTCTTATTGTTGAATGTATGTGCAGCTCATGCTAAGAACTGCGTAATTTTTGTACTCATTTGAAGTAAGTAGCAAAATGCATGGCTCCCATAAGTGATGATCAACCTGTATGTGTGGGGTACTTGTGGGTTTTGTTGATGGTGTGGCTAGGCTTCTTGAGCATACCAAACTGGTTATCTAGTTGTTATCTGTGTAAGCTTTGTTTTTATCTTTTCTTTATATATTGTTACACACACACGCACGTATATATATTTATATCTGTAATATTTCCAATATTTATATAGAGAAATATATATATTGTAAATATATATACACACACACTTTCTCTCTTATGGAATTAAAAGCAGATGTATAAAGGATGAAAAAATAAAGAAGGAAAAAATATTATTTGTGTCTGAGCAATGTCTTTCCTAGACAAAATATCTCACACAGGAGGTCCTCAGCTGATGCCATTGAAACCAGAATGTGCCTTGCAGCATATCCACGTTGTTAACTCAGAGCTCTGTTGATGGAAATACAGACAATTCTGCTTGACGGATGTCACCACTTTGTTTGCCCCATCTCTTTATCAAGGGTACTTTGTGGCAACAGAGGGGAGGGCATATCTGTGCTTTAGCCACTCCAAATTCTCAGCCCGGCTGATGAGTTCAAATGGTCAGTGACAATAGGTTTGTACTGTAAGACTACATAGTGGTCTCTGTCTTCTGCCTTATGGACAGCCAACTGCAGCAGAATGGCAGGAAAGACAGCTGAAATGCCTTAAACACCAAAGACGACTCCTAGTGAAAGCTTGTCAGGACATTTAAAATAAAAGATGAATTGTGGATGGAGTCAATTTTTTATTTTTTATCACTGTATCACTCTCAAATGTCACACTTTTTTTTTTTCTAGTGTCATTTTTTATACTGCCAAAATTCAATCTGTATGATTACTGAAGGAAAAGACTGTATGAGCAGTTTTACACTGTAGTTTTTCAGACCACTAAATATTTTGGAATGTGATTAATAAACAAAATAATAAGTTTTTCAAACTTTTTTTTTTTTTTCCCTGTGGGATAAAAGACAACGTATTTGTTGTGATTTTGAACAGGGGTAGTAGCTTCCGTCTGTTGTTGTGGCCTTATTGTGTTATATATGCAGTACTAAAACAACCAGTAGGAAACATAGAGTCCTGATTTAATTATTTTAAATAAAATTAAAAGAAGGCAAAAGAATGAGGAATTAAAGATGATAGTTCTTCTGTTTACCCCGAGACATATTAACAAAGTTACAATTAGCAGTTTTTACAGTTACTGATGTAGAAGATACTTGGACTGAAGTAACTGAATTAATCTCAGAATCATTGGCATGTATTTTATAGGAAATGATACAATCTATTGGACAGACATGGGTTTCAACAAAATTAGCAGATGTAAACGAGACCAAACATGGAAAGAAGACGTTGTTACAAATGGTTTGGGAAGAGTTGAAGGCATTGCAGTGGACTGGATAGCAGGTAGGTCTTAACCTGCTTCGGGTCTTGTCATGATTTCTGACAGTACACTCTTGCATCTTCAGCTCAAGACTAAATAACTTGGTTTGCTTCCAGCTCTAATTTCTAATATTCCAAATGTCTAGATATTTTCCTCTGAAGATACCACCACTGTTTTTTGCAGTTTTAATTGAAAATCAAAATTATTTCAATAACTTCGATGTTACTTCTTAGATGGACAGTCTGAATGGTGACAACTATGAATAAAAGTTTATACTTTAAAACAGAAGGCTGAATAGGACTAGAAATTACAAATATAAGACACATATAAGTCAAAATACAGCAATTAGTTTCTCGTCCTAACGTACACACTTAAGATTTATAGACTTTTCAAGTAGTCTTTTCTTTTTCCAGTAACTTCAAGGTATTTTTCCTAGGTAACATATATTGGACGGATCATGGCTTCAACTTAATTGAAGTTGCCAGGCTCAACGGCTCATTCCGCTATGTAATTATATCCCAGGGTTTGGACCAGCCAAGATCTATTGCGGTACACCCAGAGAAAGGGTAACATGACCATGGCTACTTGCGTTTCTTTTAGTTTGCATGCTAGCACTGAAGTTCTTAGATAAGTAAATTAAGCCCTTCTTGCTAGTAAGCATTTAATAAACCCCCATAAGGTTGTATTGGAAACTACTGCACTGTAACTAAGCACAGGTAGAAGGACGTGCTGTTCTTATCATATGCTGAGTTTTTTCATTGGTGGCTGTATACATGACATACTGTACTTTCTTTGCAAAACAGTTTTCATTTCCTAAGATAATCATTTCAGTTGAGGCTTAGACATCGCTTGGAAGCATGCCTAAATCTGTTCTCAAGTTTCCAGCAAATCCAAGGAAGTCACGTTAGCCAATGAAGACCTCGATGTCATGATGGAATTGTAGAACATGTAACCCTTGGTAGTTATAAATTCTAGTGTCATGTAACATCTCACTGCGACAACCAAGGAGATTGCCCAGGGTAGCTGAAAGTCATGTGAGATGAAGCGTGTAGGTAAAAGTACGCGTCGTCAAAAATGACATGTGTATTCTTTCGGCTGTTTGTGAGAGTAGGGACTACACTGCAGAATCAACAGAAACAGAGAATGTTCTGTCCCATTCCAGCTCCAAAACTATTGTTAGCAGACCTGCAACTAAAACAGAAGCAATAAAATCTGCAAAGAATTCCCATTTTTTTCCCATGGGAGTATGAAATGTACTTTCTGAGAAACAGGCGCATAAGCAAGACTCAGTGGATTTAACTGCTACACTTAAAAGCGATAAATGGCGTCTATCAAAAACTTAAAGAGTTTTTTTTGCAGCTACCCGTCCCCAAAGCCAAAAATGGCACTGTAGCACGTTTTCCCCTGAATCAATCAAATCAGTATCGCACTATTTTCAGGAAAGCAGTTTCTGTGCTCAGAGGAGTTTGCCGCCATAGTAATGAAGAATTCTGACTTCTCACTGAGGCCGGGTTGATACCAGTGATGCAAAATGCTGTTTAGATCTTTGCCGTGATTTCTTCTGTGAGAATTTAGACATAGTGATCTGTGTCTTTTGTGAACTGGAACATTGCAACTTAATATATTTGAGAATGAAGGTGAAAGCGGTAACTGGGTTTATCTTCTGCATATATAACAGGTTTTGCCACAAATCGTTACAGCTGTGTTCATATAGCACCACTGGTCTCTTGGCAGTATGGGCTAACTGTTTAGGATGAATGCTGTTCTTCAGAGTAGGATATTCTCCAGATCCTAGTCAGAATCTGGCTGAATTAATTATTACATTTTTTTCTTTAATATACCAGAATAGCTGTGCTCTTCTGTTAGGAAACTTTAAAAAAAAAAAAAAACAAAAGAAAACAAAACTTTTGAAGGTAAGTACACAGAAGCCTGATATTCAGAAGGTTAAACCAAACTTGTTCAAAACAATAGTTAGTTTACAGTGTAATTTTCTTGAACATATATATATATATATTGTATTTGCTGTACACATACACAGATAGATTTTCACTGCTTACACCAAAGGAAAGGAAAAGCCCCCATGAAGTCTATGAGGACTAAGTACAGCAGGTGCAGTTTCTGTGGAGAATACTTGGATATTAAAAGAAGTGGTAAAAAATGTAATCAACTCTTCTGCGGTATTTGGAGAGAGAAGATGGATTGTAGCTGAGAAACAGCTTTTAACAATTGCTATAGGGAAGAGTAAATGCAGAACCCTTGACAGAATAATATTTAATATTAATATTGATAGAAAAGTTGCCTTTTTTTACTAAAGGTGTGGATTTTTTTTATTTTAATGACAGTATTTTCACAGATGCTTTCTGACTCAACAGTTCATGGTTTTATTTTACCAAAATGGTGTGTGCACATAAGCAGATGAAATAACAGCCAACAATATCACCAAGATTCTTTGGAAAGAAACAGTTCCTGCTTTTAAGTTAATGGATATTTAGAGATGTTGCTGAACCATTTTCTTAGATCTTAAAATATAATAGTGTAATGCCACCAGAAAGCAGATATTAATAAAATATGGGTAAAATGCAGTTTGGAGGAGTTTAAATTACTGCATTTCAAACAAAAAAAAAGTAAAGAAGAGAAATGTTAACTGTAGAAATTAAGTTCTGAAACATCCCGTAGATGATTTGATCTTGTTCATAGAGTTGGGTTTTGGGTGTGTTTTGAATATTTAACAAAACAGGAGGGTGAGAGGACCACAGATTAGTAATTCTTTTACATGTCTGGTAGGACGGTGTATCTTCTCTAAAGGTAGGTAAGCTTCATCTCTCTTTTTTAATGCTCTGCCACAAAATGGTATCTTGAGATGTTTCCAGTCACAGTTTCTTCAGGAGAAGGATAGCAGTGTTTTACTACTGAAGCGCAGGTATGCCTTTCTGTGGGAAGATTCA